CCAGCACCGCCTCCCAGTCGTCAGCTGTGCCGCTGCTTCCCAGCTTGTAAGAAAATGGAGTGTCCCTTCTGTCATCCGAAACACTGTAGGTTTAACACGCAGTGTACACGACCTGACTGTACGTTTTATCACCCCACCACTACTGTGCCACCGCGACATGCCTTGAAATGGATTCGACCTCAGACCAGTGAATGACACCCAGTCCTACCTGACGGAAGACTGTGGCGTTTGAAAGTTTCCATCTACTGATGAAAGACATTCTGCAGAATTTGTCAAATCTTTGAAACTTGGAATATATTGCTTTCATAATATGAAGTTTATTGCCTATCTGAAGTGTCTAATTTTTCAAGTTTGTAAGTTTTTTAAGTGATTTTAACATTGGGTCTTTCTTTGTTGTTTTGTTTTGACTATGGAAAGACAGTTTAAGGAAAAGCTGAAATCTATTAAAACATTTGAGGCATGTTTGTAAAAAAAAGTGATTATGTGTATACTTGGCTTTAAATCTACTATCTTGTTATGTCTTTTTTTCCCCTTCTGCTGTTTCTTCACCTTTTCTTTTTTTTTCCTTTCCTGCCTTCTTTTGAATTAGTTGGACATTTTAATGGTTCCATTTTATTTCCTTTTTTCACTCTGGAAAAATCTTTAGCACCAGCATTCACCTGGTTTTGTTCAAGTCAACAACCCAGGGTTATTTTAAATTTCTTTTTCTCCTCCACATCTATTCAGTCATAAAATTCTGTCAGTTTTACATACGTGGATAGAACTCCTAGAGGGGAACATAAGCAAATCATTCTCTGACATAAATCTTAGCAATATTTTCTTAGATCGGTGTCCCAAGGCAAAAGAAATAAAAGCAAAAATAAATAAGTGGGACCTAAAAACTTTTACTATGCAAAAGAAACCAACAACAAAACCTATAACATAGTAGAAAATATCTGCAAACTATGTGACCAACAAGGGGTTAATATCCAAAGATAGAAATATCCCATAACTCAATACCAAAAAAAAAAACAGACAACCCAATCAGAAATGGAGAGAGGACCCAGACAGACATTTTTCCAAAGAAGATATATAGACCAACAGGCACATAAAAAGAGATTATTAGAGAAATGCAAATCAAAGCCTCAGTGAGGTATCACTTCACACTAGTCAGAATGGCTATCATCAAAAAGTATACAAATAATAAATGCTGGAGAGATGTGGAGAGATGGGAACCCTTGTGCCCTTTAGTGGGAATGTAAATTGGTGCAGCCACTTTGGGAAATAGTATGAAGGTTCCCTGAAAAACTCAAAATAGAGCTACCATATGATACCCACTCCTGAGTATTTATCCTCCCCAAAAATGAAACCTCCTATTTGAGAAGACTCATGCCCCCCAATGTCCATAGCATCATTATTTACAATAGCCAAGACATGGAAGCACCTTGTGTCCATCAGCAGACAATTGGCTTAAAATATATTGTTTATATATATATATATGATAGAATATTACTCTGCCATAAAAAGAATGAAGTATTGTCATTTGTAGCAACATGGATGGGCCTAGAAAATATTATACTTAGTGAAGAAAGAGAAATACAAATTCTTTTTTTTTTTAGAAATAAATATTCTATATGACATCACTTTTATGTGAAATCTGAAAAAATAATGCAAATAAATCTATATACAAAACAGAAGAAACAGATTCACAGGCATAGAAAACAAATTACGGTTGATAAAGGGGAGAGGGAGTGAAGGAGGGACAGATTCGGAGTATGGGATTAACAGATACAAACTACTATGCATAAAATAGATAGGCAACAAGGATTTACTGTGTAACACAGGGAATTATATTCAGTACCTAATAATAACCTATAATGGAACATATTTGGAAAACTCAGCAGTGGTCACAGGAATGGAAAAGGTCAGTTTTCATTCCAATCCCAAAAAAGGGCAATGCCAAAAAATGTTCAAACTACCACACAATTGCACTCATCTCACATGCTAGCAAAGTAATGCTCAAAATTCTCCAAGCATGGCTTCAACAGTACGTGAACCATGAACTTCCAGATGTTCAAGCTGGATTTAGAAAAGGCAGAGGAACCAGAGATCAAATTGCCATCATATGCTGGATCATTGAAAAAGCAAGAGACTTAAAAAAAAAAAAATCTTTATTCTGCTTTATTGATTACACCAAAGCCTTTGACTGTGTAGATCACAACAATCTGGAAAATTCTTCAAGAGATGGGAATACCAGACCACCTTACCTGCCTCCTGAGACATTTGTATGCAGGTCAAGAAACAACAGTTAGAATTGGACATGGAACAACAGACTGGTTCCAAATCGGGAAAGGAGTACATCAAGGCTGTATATTGTCACCCTGCTTATTTAACTTATATGCAGGGTACATCATGCGGAATGCTGGGCTGGGTGAAGCACAAGCTGGAATCAAGATTGCTGGGAGAAATATCAATAACCTCAGATATGCAGATAACACCACCCTTATGGCAGAAAGTGAAGAGGAACTAAAGAGCCTCTGATGAAAGTGCAAGAGAAGAGTGAAAAAGCTGGCTTAAAACACAACATTCAAAAAACTAAGATCATGCCATCTGGTCCTACCACTTCATGACAAATAGATGGGGAAACAGTGGAAACAGTGACAGACCTTATTTTCCTAGGCTCCAAAATCACTGCAGCCATGAAACTCAAAGACGTTTGCTGCTTGGAAGAAAAGCTTTGACCAACCTAGACAGCATGTTAAAAAGCAGAGACATTACTTTGCCGACAAAGGTCCATCTTGTCAAAGCTAGGGTTTTTCCAGTAGTCATGAATGGATGTGAGAGTTGTACTATAAAGAAATCTGAGCGCCAAAGAATTGATGCTTTTGAACTGTGGTGTTGAAGAAGACTCTTGAGAGACCCTTGGACTGCAAGGAGATCCAACCCGTCAATCCTAAAGGAAATCAGTCCTGAATATTCATTGGAAGGACTGATGCTGAAGCTGAAACTCCAGTTCTTTGGCCACCTGATGCGAAAAACTGACTCATTGGAAAAGACCCTGATGCTGGGAAAGATTGAAGACAGGAGGAGTAGGAGATGACAGAGGATGAGATGGTTGGATGGCATCACTGACTTGATGGGCATGAGTCTGAGCAAGCTTCAGGAGTTGGTGATGGACAGGGAGGCCTGGCATGCTGCAGTTGATGGGGACGCAAAGAGTTGGACACGACTGAGCAACTGAACTGAACTGAAATCACTTGACTGTACACCTGAAACACTTAATATTGTAAATCAACTATACTTAATAAAAATAAATAAAATTTAACACTAAACCGAGAGAAAAAAATTCTATAAATTATGCTTGTTTGCAGCGTTGTACTAAATATTTTCTATCTTTGCTGCTTGATTACTCTTTTTAAGCTTTTTATTTTATATTGGAGTATCACCAATTAACAATGTTATGATAGTTTCACGTGTACAGCAAAGGGACTCAGCCGTACATACACGTGTATCCATTCTCCCTTAAACTCTGCTCCCATCAGGTGGACACATGATGCTGAGCAGAGTTCCCTGCGCTACACAGTAGGTCCTTGTAGGTTATCCATTTTAAATATAACAGTGTGTACATGTCGATCCAAGCTCTGTAACTATCTCTTTCCCCCCATTCTTACCCCAATAGCAAACATTAGTTCATTCTCTAAGTTTGTGAGTCTGTTTCTGTTTGTAAGTAGCTACTTCTTGTTCATCAGCTTCTCTCTTATTTATTTGCAATGTCTTCATTTGTAATGATCCCTTTTACATATCCTTCAGTGTAATATCGGAGAAGGCAATGGCGCCCCACTCCAGTACTCTTGGATAGAAAATCCCATGGATGGAGGAGCCTGGTAGGCTGCAGTCCATGGGGTCGCGAAGAGTCGGACACGACTGAGCGACTTCACTTTCACTTTTCACTTTCACGCATTGGAGAAGGAAATGGCAACCCACTCCAGTGTTCTTGCCTGGAGAATCCCTGGGACGGCGGAGCCTGGTGGTCTGCCGTCTATGGGGTCTCACAGAGTCGGACACGACTGAAGCGACTTAGCAGCAGCAGAAGCAGCAGTGTAATATAAGATTCAATACTGATAAAAAGATTTCAATATTCATCCAATGCCTCAGCTATGGAGAGGCTTTTATTTAGTTATGTATACTAAATAAAAGTCTTCATATTTTTATTCTTCTCTCTGACCACCTTACCTAATCAGCTCATCTCTACCTACTTTCCCATCTAGCATTCTACATTCTAGTGATACTGAACTACTTATTGACCAGATATATAGCACATTCTCCAGCCACTGTGCCTTTTGCTCTATTGGAAATTATCCAAGTCTTAGCATCTCTTCAAATGAAGCCTTCTCTACTTCTCTTCAGCTAAATTACAAGATCCTGCCTTTTCTATTTCATTTTACCTTCTGTATTTTCACTAGAGTAAATTGTATATAATTATATTTGTTCATCTGTCTTGCTATTTCTGCTTAGAATATAAGCTCTTGGAGGTAGTGTTTTTATCTTAGAATTAAAGAAAAACTGGATATCAGCTAAGGCTTGTAGATTATATATCACTTTGGTCTATCATACTGTGATTTATAACTTTTATCATTCATCTAACACATATTAATATTTTTTGGTGTGTCAGCTATGCAGCAATCACAATGGGAGATTCCAGGAAGGTTTGATCCTTGCCCTCATGGACTTTATGAGCTAAAATTGGTTTTGCCCAGTCATACTTTTAAAAATAAGAACTGGTGTATGCAGTTTTGGGAAAAAAAAACCTTTTTTATTAGTAATCACCATTTTATGACTCAGTAGTTCTTTGCAGGCTTTCACTCAATAAAAATAGAGTGTTTGGAGTGGAAAAGGGAAAGTGATTCCAGAGAGGGCACATTGATTTTCCTCCTGGGTAAAAAAAAAAATAACTGATTTAATATTAATAATGAAAACACAGGACATGGACAAAATGTACATTTTTTTTTTCTTTTCTAAAGGAGAGACTAAAACTTACTTATGAGGAAAAGAGTGAAATCCTGGAATCTCAATTGACTTTTTTGAGGTAAAGTATTATCATCTACTTAAAGTCATTGGCAAAACCATAATGATCTTAAAAATATGTTTGAATGTTTACTGAAATTTCAGTTTTAGCCAATATAGGAATTGCTTGATGTTATTTTATATACACTACATGAAATTTCCTCAGATTAGTAAAGGCTAAAGGGATTTGTGAGGTCCTTTTTCAAATCCTGTTTCGAAGAAATGTGAGCTAAATTATAAATTTTATCCCTTCATCAGTTGTAGAATATTATGTTTTCATATAGAAAAAGGAATCAGTAGCTCTTCTTATAGAAATTATGCTTTTAAAATAAAATAATGTAAATAAAGCACTGTAATTTTCAAATTACAAGCAAGTATATTTTTTTTCTTCTGTAGGAGGTCTTCATCTAATTTTAAAATTACAACAGTAGTATAAAAGCTTGAGTTTTTATATCCTTGGCAAATTTGAGTATATACAAATTTTCATGTACTTTTTGATATGTTTTCAAAAATCCCCATAGAGCCTATATATTATAGATTAACCATTAGTGATTTGTTCTATATTGTGAGTAGGACAAGATACAGGAATTAATTTTTTAAGTTAAAGGTTAATTGAAACAGTGGTAATGAAATCTTTTCTAATGAAATAACCTTTAAAATATTTTTATAATTTTATTTTAGTAAATTTTATTTTTGATATAAAATTTAAAAAAACATAAAATTTAACAGTCCATATATTGTCTAGAGCGATAACTAAAGTACTACCAAGAGCCAGAACTCATGGCTTTTTGCTACAAATGTAGTTATTCATTTATTTTAATATATTCTGATGCCTTTCATGCCATATAAGGTTGAGGATTTCTGTAGAGACTCTTAATTTTTCATGAAGAAATCTAAACTTTTATAAGATGGTCTGATTTTTGCTTTCTTGCTTTGCTATAGTTTGATTTCTATTGTGTTTTGGTTCTTCAGTATATAGTGATATATTTCTAGCTCATTATTTTATGGGAATATGACTTATTTTGTTCCACTCACAATTCAACTATGCAGTCTTGTGTTGCATTAAAATATTACCTTGCAATGGACCAGACTTTGTTCCCTGCATTCTTCTGCTTCTTCATTTTCTTTTAGCATAATTTAAGATTATTTAAAGAAACATTTTCTTAAAGAAAGAAAGAAAATCACTTCTCTTGAAAACTCTACTTTTACATTACCTATTTTTTAAATTTTCTGTTTGCTTTTTCATGTAACTGAATCTACTTGAGTGTTTTGAATTTGGAGCTGACAGAAGTAGTAATGGGGACTCTCTGACTTTGGAATGTACTTCTGAAGTTTTTTTTAACAAAGCTTTCGAAAGTCAAACTGTACTGTTGTTCAGTCACTAAGTTGTGTCCAACTCTTTGCGGCCCCGTGAACTGCAGTGTGCCAGGCTTCTCTGTCCTTCACCATGCCCCAGAGTTTGCTCCAACTCATGTCCATTGAGTTGGTGATGCCATCCAACCATCAGACTTTTTCTACATGATACTTAAAAGGAAACATTATGTTGTAGATATTATCTTGGGGAAAAGATATAAACAGCTCCTTTTTTTTCTGCTTCAGAGTGTCATTAGATTTGCTTTTTTTTTCAAACCTTAGATGGCCCGTAGATCTTTTCCACTTCTTCCAGGATGTCTGAAAGCCCCCCAAATCCCAAGAGTCCAACGAAGTGTGTAACAGCCAGGTGTCTTGACTGTTGGCTTCTCCTTTGTGACAGGGAACAAAATAGGATGGCTATAAATCCCTGAATTTATCTATAGAGAGTATTCTGAGCCAGAGATAAAGTGCCTGCCTTCTGCAGTCTTAAGAATTTAAGAACAATTTCTTTAAGTTAGGACTTAAAAAAAAAAAATACAATATGAAAGGGATATGTGTGCAAGGAAGCTCAGTTACCTAAGTTGACTTTACCAAAGCTTTTTAGGGAAGGGGAAGGAAAATACAATCCATATACTGGTCATTTAATCCTTAACAGATCAGCATAGAGAAAAACCTTATCCAGGAACTATCCCATTAAAACAAACAAACAAATGAAGAACACTCACACACAATTCCTCTGCCCTTTCATTATCAAGCTGTGTATTTCCAGCTAATAGCTGCTACTTGTGAAATCTTATGTCTGTCGAATTCTGACTTCTTTCTGTAGCCCACTCTCAGTTCTTTGTAGAACTATGTGATTAGTTGATTTTTTTTTACTGAAGAAAAATGGGCAGTAGTAAATTACTCATGCATAAAATCCATGTCCTTTATGCAATCCTTTAAGGTTCTCTTTATAAGTTTTAAAGAGTTAACACTTGAAATGGGATATTTCCCTCAATTTAAGGATATTGTGTTATCCTTTTATTGAGAAAAACTATTTAGGATTTGTATTTGGAGTTTTATTTCTGGGAAGAGATGGGATCCCTTGAAAAGAGAGCTAGTATTGGAGGCATACTAGTCTGTGTTAAAAATCTTAAAACAACTTTAAATTTAATATTTTCAAGTCTCACTTTATTCAAAGGGTCAATTCGGATAATCACATCTACATCTCAGGGTTATGGTAAGAATTAATAAGGTATTGTATAAAAAGCACCTAATAAGGTAAACACCAGTAAATGATAGTAGTTATCACTGTGGTGATACATTTAAAAGTAGTATACTTTTACCTGGACATGTACACCCATGGTGGATTCAGGTCAATGTATGGCAAAACCAATACAATGTTGCAGTAAAATAAATAAATTAATTAATTAAAAAACTTTAATCAGATGATAGTTGCTTTACTATGTTATATTGGTTTCTGCCTCACAGCAGTGTGAATCATTCATGATTTTATATGTGTGTATATATATATACACCCTTCCTCTTGAGTCTCCCTGCCCCCAATCCCACTAACTAGGTTGGGCTCCCTGTGTTGTATAGCAGCTTTCCACTATCTATCTATTTTCTATTTTACATATGATAGTGTGTATATGTCAGTGCTACTTTTCAGTTTACCCTAACTTCTTCCCCAGCTATGTCCACTTGCTAAAGCTTTTTTCTCTTCTTTTTAGGAAAGACTTAGCTGAATATCAGAAAAACTGTGAAGATCTTAAAGAGCGACTAAAGCATAAAGAGTCTCTTCTTGCTGCTAATATTTCTAACCGTGTTGGTGGTCTTTGTTTGAAATGTGCTCAGCATGAAGCTGTTCTTTCCCAAACCCATAATAATGTTCACATACAAACCATTGAAAGACTGACTAAGTAAGTATGCTTCTGTATGTGGGATTGTTGGTAACATGGAAACCCATATCTTTAAATGGGCAGTATAGTTTTTTTATCCCCATGCTAAATCACATGTGATTAATGTTAAGCTTCAAATAAAATGAATTTTCTAAGGTCCCTTCATTGTAGCTTTCTTAAAGAGAGAATATGTAGGTTCTGCCAACTGTGTATAATCTAGTCATTTTGGACAAATAATTTTATCTTTGTTGGTTTCAGTCTCATCTTGAAATGAGAGGATTGAAGTAGATAGCCTTTATAATTCTGTTCATTTCTATGACTCTGTAATTGAAGATCCAGCACTATTCATAACAGCCCTCAGTTTGAGAGGAATTCTCTTGATTTTGCCTGATTTCAGATTTCCCTGCTGTAGTATAAAGTGAGTTTTTTTTTAATCAAGTCTTTAATATGTGCCTGTCATGAAGAATATTATGAGTACACTGGAAAAAGGATCCACCGTATCCCATTTGTTAATATTTGAGGATTGATCAGGGACAAATTACAAGTGAGTTTTTATGGAGTCAAAATTTTCATCTAGGCTGAAATATTACAGTTCTCTGAGTACATCTTTTTTGTTTTGTTTTCACTATTCCAGAGGAAGCCTTTTCCTATGAAAATTTTATTCTGTAGAAGTTGAGGATTATTATTTAATACAGTATCCAGTGATGATTTATAGTGGGTGTTCTCTCTCGCATGCCCTCTGCTTTTCTCTGTGCTCATGGTCATCTTTTTCTGTCTTTTGGGGTTCATTTAAATAGCCCAAACATCACTTCCTCTTAGAAGTATTCTCTCACCAGCCTTACCCCATTTTGTCCTCAGTTGACTCAGCCTCCTTCTTTCTCTAACTTTATAATATATTGTGTATACTTGCAGGCAGCAACTGTATTTTATTTCTATATCCCTGGCTTCTAGAAGAGTACCTGGTCTGTAGCAGACACTCAGTAAATTGCTGTTTATATGACAAGACACTTTGGCATTTATTGTTAACATCAGTTCAGTTCAGTCACTCAGTCGTGTCCAGCTCTTCGCGTCCCCATCAACTGCAGCACGCCAGGCTTCCCTGTCCGTCACCAAGTCCCAGAGTTTGCTCAAACTCATGTCCATTGAGTTGCTGATACCATCCAACCATTTCATCTTTGGTCATCCCCTTCTCCTCCCACCTTCAATCTTTCCCAGCATCAGGGTCTTTTCTAATGAGTCAGTTCTTTGCATCAGGTGGCCAAAGTATTGGAGTTTCAGCTTCAGCATCAGTCCTTCCAATAAATATTCAGTACTGATTTCCCTTAGGATTGACTGGTTGGCTCTCCTTGCAGTCCAAGGAACTCTCAAGAGTCTTCTCCAACACCACAGTTCAAAAGCATTAGTTCTTTGGAGCTCAGCTTTCTTAATAGTCCAACTCTCACATCCATACATGACCACTGGAAAAACCATAGCCTTGACTAGACGGACCTTTGTCGGCAAAGTAATGTCTCTGCTTTTTAATATGCTGTCTAGGTTGGTTATAACTTTGTTAACATCAGAGATCCTCTAATTGGAACTGGTGTCGAGACTGAAAAGACTTGGTCATTAAAGTCAGTTTTGGCCTTTGGATGAATGAATTTACTTCCCTGAGTTTGAAGTCTTCCTTTGTTTTGGTGAATGATATTCAATACCACCTCCTGGTATATTATGGATGCAGCTTAGCCTTGTAACTTGAGTGTTAGCTTTTGAGCAAATTGCCTGGATCCATACTTTGGTTCTACTGCCAGCTTACTTTGTTTAGGACTTCACTAGTGGCTTAGTCAGTAGAGAATCTGCCTGCAGTGCAGGAGACCTGAGTTCAATCCTCTCATGCCTCAGTTCCCCAACTTGAAAATGGAGGTAAAAGTGCCTAGTAGTAATATTCTTGAGGGGACATTGAGTGCATACCTATATATTGCTTCAGACATTTCCTGCCATATTATAAATTCTCTATAACTATTAAAACCCATCTGTACCTCCTATACTTGGAAGTAGTAAAACCATAGCCATGGTTTCTACATGTGACTAAATTATTGGTTGTTATATAAAAACTAAATTTCTCCACTGGTACTTTTCATGATCTGCACTGATGGCCTTGCTTTTTGTTAAGTATTATATTAATTATTAAATATACTATTAACTTATTCATATTTATTACATATCAGCTTCCCAAGTGGCTTAGTGGTAAAGAATCCACCTGCCAATGCAGGAGATGAAGGTTCAAACCTTGGGTCAGAAAGATCCCTTAGAGAAGGAAGTGGCAACCCACTCCAGTAGTCTTGCCTGGAAAATTCCATGGACAAAGGAGCCTGGCAGGCTACAGTCCATGGGATTGCAAAGAATCGGACATAACGGAGCACGCATGCTACTATTTCATATAGTGGCAATTTATTAAATGTATGTTAAATATATTTTCAGGTACAACTGATGTGTAATAAACATTTCTAATATACCAAGGATTATACCAGGAAATTTAAAACATATTGTCTTTTAATCTTAGTAAAATATTGATGAGGTAAGTAGATTGCTGTCATTCTACAACTAAGTAAACTGAGTCTCAGAGAAGTTAAAAATTTGCTTGTTTATATTTGAAAAAAGAATGAAATCATACTTCACAAAAGTAAATTCAAGATAGTTTAAAGACCTAGATATGACTTCTAGACTACAAAAGTATTAGGAGAAAATATAGAAAAACATCTAAAGTTCTAAGCTTGGTGAGGAAAGTAAGCCAGAAGGGGAAATAAAATGTTACATTTGACTCCATTAAAACAAAAAATTACTTTTGATACAATATTGCAAATTAAACTAAAAGATAGGAAAATATTTATGTTTTATATAACAAAATTTTTGGTACAATGTATAAATAATTTCTTTAAAAAAAAACAGAAAAGAAAAACTTCCCAGTTGCAAAGTACGTATAGGATAGAAATTGGTAAGCAATAAAAGAGGATGATAATGCATGAGTAAGTATTCATTCTTTTTTTTAATTGAAGTGTAATTGATTCACAATACCATGTTAGTCCCAGGTGCACAACCTAGTGACTTGGTAATTCTATACATTACAAAATGATCACCACAATAAGTCTAGTTATACCTGTCATCATGTAAAATTATTGCAGTATTATTAACTATATTTCCCATGCTGTACATTTCATCCTTTTGACTTGTTTTAAGTTACAAAATAAATAATCTTAATCTCATTTACCTATTTTACTCATCTTCCCAAAACCCTCCCTTCTGGCAACCACCTGTTTGTATCTGATTCTGTTTATGTTCTGTTACATTAGTTCATTTGTTTTGTTATTCAGATTTTCCAAACATAAATGAAATCATATTTTATTGTCTGACTTATTTTACTTAGCATAATACCTTCTAAGTCCATCCATATTGTTGCAGATGGCAAGATTTCATTTCATTTCATTCAGCCATTGTATAGCTGAGTAATATTTCATTGTTTATGCATGCGTATTTATACACATATATCACATCCTCTTTATTCCATTCTTTGATGGACATGTGTGTTGCTTCTATACAATGGCTATTGGAAATAAGGCTGCAGTGAACATAGTGGCGTCTGCATCCCTTTAGATTTCTGTTTCTGTTTTCTTCTGAAAACTACCAAGAAGTGGAATTTCTGGATTGTACCGTAGTTCTTTTGATACTTTAAATTTTTTGAGGAACTTTCATGCTGTTTTACCTAACAGCTTACTAATTTACATTTCTACCAGCAGTGCTCTAGAGTTGCCTTTTCTTCCATCTTTGCCAACATTTGTTATTTGTTGTCATTTTGTTGTTTAAGCTAATCATTCTGTTATTATTCAAGAAAATGGTGGTGGTGTTATTATTCAAGCAAATGGTGGTCACTAAGTTGTGTCCAGCTTTTGCAACCCCATGGACTGTAATCCACCAGGCTCCTTGTCCATGGGATTTTTCAGGCAAGAATATTAAAATGGCTTGCCATTTCCTTCTCCAGAGGATCTTCCTGACACAGGGATCAAACCAGCATCTCCTGTATTACATGTGAATTCTTTACTGCTGAGCCACCAACAAAGCCTCATTCAAGGAAATACCAGTTTAAAAATGGCAACTATCAAGGTGGTGAAAATTTTAAAAAGACTAGTGGTCTCAAGAATTGATGAGGCTATGAATAAGTCTGTATTTTCATACACTGCTAGTGGAACTATAGATTGACACTACTTTTGAGGGTAATTTAGCACTATTCATTAATATTTAAATTGTGAAATTACACATTTCAAAATCTACACTAGAGAATGTATGTATACCATAATAGGGCATTTGTAGGGAGCTCTATTTGCAGCATTATTTGTAATGCTGTTGTGATATTGTCATTTGATAAGAAACACATATTTTTGTCTTCATTTCCCATTCTTTGCATGGAACTCCTAAAACTTCTGTATTTTTCTAAGTGGTAAAAGCAATAAGTATGCTTTTTGTACTAACATTTGTGTTTTGTCCTCTGCTTCTGAAAGAGGTTATTAAGCCCATGAGTTTATATCAAGTAGGTGACTTTTGACTAAGGATGGGAATGCTGGTTGCCACAGAAACCATCCATGTAATTAGAAGATTGGAATTTTTGGTCTCTACTTCCTAACCTTTAGGAAGAGATAGAGCTGGAGATGGAGTCCAGTCATCAGTGGCCAGTGCTTTAATCAGTCATGCCTATGGAACTTCAATAAAAACTATAAACAATGAGTTTAGGGTGCTTCTGGATTGGTCAACACATTGGGTACTAGAATGTGACACCAAACAGGATGTGGAAGCTCTACACACCTTCCCACATACCTTTGTCTAGTGATCTCATCTGTTTATCTGTTCATAGTTGAATCTTTTATTATAAGCGAGCAATAGTAAGGAAAACACTTTCCTGAGTTCTGTGAGCTATTCTAGCAAATTATTTTGCACTGGAAAGGATCATGGAAATCCATGGTTTTTGGTCAGTTGGTCAGAAGAGATACAAGGTA